TAGGTTAAATTATTGGATAGTGGATTTAGGACTTGAGAGAGCCAAATCTGATATTAGAACTTGAGATCCCCGATTAGAGTTCGATATTCGTAGATTCTCCATCCTTAGAAACAATCCCTGCGCATTAAGGTTATCCCGAAGCTACGGTGGTTTAATTATCTGATTTTACTTAGTTTATTTATTGCTTTATTTTCGGTATTCATCTATTCCATCTGCTATTTCCTGATCTGATTCTCAGTCGAGTCTTGCTCTTAGTGTTAACTATTCCCTGTGTTCGACCCTGGTACTACAGTTGACCCGTATCCTTGCGGTATTCGCTGTATCTAGGTCTTTTATTACTTGAGCTTATTTATACACCTAGATTTGCGTTATCAAAAACCAGGTGGAAAGGAAAGTCAAGTACTTGAGGACATACAACGGACTAGAATTCTGCAACAAAGAATTCGATAATTACTGCAAAGATCAAGGTATCACAAGACACAGAACCTGCACATATACGCCACAACAAAATGGTGTTGCGGAACGTATGAACAAGACAATAATGGACAAAGTAAGAAGCATGTTATCTGACTCAGGACTTGGTCATGAATTCTGGGCAGAGACTGCATCTACGGCAGTGTACCTGGTAAACAGATCTCCCTCTAGCGCAATAGATTTCAAAATTCCAGAAGAAGAATTGACAGAAAACAGTTAGACTTAACAAACTTGAGGAGATTTGGCTCAGTTGTATATGTACATACAAATCAAGGAAAGCTTAATCCCAGGGCAAAGAAAGGTATCTTTGTAGGATACCCTTCTGGAATAAAAGGATATAGAATATGGCTGCTAGAAGATAATAAGATCTTAATGAGCCGAGATATAAAGTTCAAGGAAGATCAGACATTCAAGGAGCTGAGACAAAGTGAGAATAATCAACAAGGAACAACTGAGTTGAAGGCTGAAAAGACAAGGTTTGAAATATCTGACTTCAAAACTGGACAAAAACAGCCAGAACAAATTCCACAAGCTCAAGACTCAGGTGGAGAAGATTCAGGGTCAAATGAAGATGAGCAGGATTATGCAAGTGAACATGATCTCATACAGAATCAGAATCACTTACATATTCCAGAGTCAGAAACAGAACCAGAAGTTAGAGAGGAGTCTCAAGACCTACGGAACTATCAGTTGGCTCGTGACAGAACTAGAAGAGTCATTCAACCTCCAAGCAGATATAGGGAAGACAATACAGTAGCATTTGCATTGAATGTGGCCAAGGAACTGGATCTAGATGAGCCTAAAACTTATCAACAAGCATTACAGGCTCGTGAAAGTGAAAACTGGCTTCAAGCCATGAAAGAGGAGATGATATCCCTAGAACAAAACAACACTTGGGCTCTGGTAGATAAGCCAAGAAAGCAGCGTGTCATAGAATGCAAATGGGTGTATAAATACAAACCTGGTATCCCTGGAGTAGAGAAACCAAGGTTCAAGGCTAGATTAGTAGCCAAGAGGTCTATGCTCCGGTGGTGAAGCACGTATCTATAAGACTGCTATTATCTATAGTTGTCTCGAAAGATTTGGAGGTGGAACAATTGGATGTCAAAACAACATTTTTGCATGGAGAGTTGGATGAACAGAAATATATGGAGCAACCTGAAGAATATGGAAAAGAAAGGAAGAATAATAAGGTCTGCCTTCTGAAAAAGTCTTTGTATGGGTTAAAGCAGAGTCCTCGACAGTGGAACATGAAGTTCGACTCTTTTATGTCACAGCAGGGATTCAACAGAAGCAACTATGACTAGTGTGTGTATTACAAAGAGTTAAAGACGAGATCCTATATACATCTCCTGATATATGTAGATGACATGCTGATTGCTGCTGAAAGCAAGTCTGAAATTCAGAAGGTCAAGCAAATGCTAAGTAAACAATTCGAAATGAAGGATTTAGGGAGTGCTAGCAGAATCCTTGGTATGGATATTATCAGGGACAGAGAAAGAGGAGTTCTGAAATTGTCTCAGCAAAACTACTTGAAAAATGTACTAAGCACTTTCAATATGACAGATTCAAAAGCTGTCCAAACTGCATTAGGAGCTCATTTTCGACTGAAAAATGTAGAGACCAAAGAAGAACTGTTAGATCTGGATGAAACTCCATACTTGAATGCTGTTGGCAGTTTGATGTATGGGATGATAGGAACTAGGCCTGATTTGGCCTATGCAGTGGGTATGATAAGTCGATACATGAGTAAACCAGGAAAGGAACACTGGCAAGCAGTAAAATGGGTAATGAGATACGTTAAGGGAAGCTCGGAATTGGGTCTCAGATTCACAAAGGAAACAGAATTCAAGTTAACCGGCTATTATGATGCAGATTATGCATCAGATCTCGACAAAAGGAGATCTATTACAGGTTATGTCTTCACACTAGGAGGAAACACCATCAGCTGGCGATCAGGACTACAACATGTAGTGGCTCTTTCAACCACAGAAGCAGAATATATGGCCTTGACAGAAGCTGTTAAAGAAGCACTTTGGCTCAAAGGACTGATCAACGAACTTGGAATTGAGCAAAGATCCGTTACTGTCTTCTGTGATTCTCATAGCGCAATTTGTCTAGCCAAGAACAACATACATCATGAGAGGACGAAACACATTGATATAAGATTGCATTTCCTCATAGACGTGATTACAGAAGGTACAGTTCAAGTTCAGAAAGTGAAGACCGAAGACAATCCAGCTGACATCTTAACAAAGTCTCTACCAGTAAGTAAGTTTAGGGAGGAGCGGTGATCCACGAATTTCTTCTGATACGTTTGTCAAGGTGGAGTTTGTTGGTGGGTGACAAAGATCAGAAGAAAACTCTGATGGAATCAGAGGTTTCCTGATTTTCTGGTTACGCACTAAAAACTCTGGGTGGTTTAGAGGGTTTAAGGGTAGTTTTGTAAAGAATGAGATTCAGGTTGTTAATTCCGTTTTAGTTTTGGGCTGGGTATATATTCAGGGGAGTTTCAGGGGAAACTCGATGACTTCTTCTTCAACCTCTAATCTGTTTGTTTTCGATCAATCGTTCTCCGGCGAATTCGGTCTTCTATGAATTCGTCGAACCTTGTAAACAAGAAGAGACTAGTGGATTGCTGAGCTTATCCCTCGGCCGTGACGTAGGATCCTTTCACCGATCCGAACACGTAAAAGCTTCTGGTGTTCTTTTGTTTCGGTCTTTTCGCGTTCATCGTGTGAGCTCAGAATCGGAGGGTAGCAGATGACACATTTTTATGGTATAACCGCATAAGATTCGAATTCCAAATTCATCAATTATTGTAAAATTTAGATTCGACCTTAGAAATATTTTAATGATATCCAAGAAATTATTTTCACATGTTTAAAACCCGAGCAATTTTTAAATTTTTTCTGTAGGTGTATGATGGCTCTTTAATAGATTCTAATGTATATAATAGTGTTAATGTAATCGAATAATGTTTTTTCCATAAAAAAATAATGTTGTTTTTGTAAAATAATAATCTAAACCAAACAAGGAGAAGAAAGGCCCACGAAATGAGTGGGTGATGTTATTTCGTTTTTTAAAAATTATTAATGATTCAATTTTTGTATTAAATTTTATTTATTTACGATTAGATATTACTCGATTTGAATTGGTTCAATTATTTGGTTATTTACAAAATTACCCATCACGTCATCTTCTCAATCATATGATTCCACTTGTTTTTTTATTCCCTCCCCCCCCCCTTTGCTCGGAGATACGACCAAACGCTGAATTCGTGATTCCATCTTTCGCGATATCATCGATGGTGGTATGAAAAATGCTACTGAGTTCGAGTGCCTCGTCAATGGAAGCTGCTTCTTTTCCTAGCTCTTCCTCCTTCACGCGATTCCCTTGCCGCCGGCGACTCGCCCGATTCAACTCGTTCGTCCATCGTCAATCTCCCTCCTTCCTCATCTCTGGCTCCTCCTGTCTCCCCCGACGGTCACTCCGTTTCCGGACTAACTCGACGGCCGACGGCCACCATCACCATGACCATGAGCATCATCATCACCACAGTCATGAACACGATCATCACCATCACCACCACCACGGCTGTTGTGCGGCACTGACGGAGCTGAACGGGCCTCAGAAAGCGTTGATCGGGTTCGCTAGAACCGTTGGATGGGTTCGATTGGCCGATTTCCTCAGGGAGCATCTCCAGCTTTGCTGCTCCTCCGCCGCGTTGTTCCTCGCCGCCGGTGCTTGCCCTTACTTGGTTCCTAAACCCTACATTAAGCCTCTGCAGAACGCTTTCATGGTGGTCGGTTTCCCTCTTGTTGGTGTAAGGATTCTAGCTTCTGTAAAGCTGAATTTCTCATATATAGTCATGATGATTTATCCAAGTACATATTTAGATTGGACGAACTCTCGATGTGTATTAGGTTTCAGCATCTCTCGATGCGCTCATGGATATAGCTGGAGGAAAAGTGAACATCCACGTCTTGATGGCATTGGCAGCCTTTGCATCTGTGTTTATGGGCAATGCGCTTGAAGGAGGCTTGCTTCTAGCGATGTTCAATCTTGCTCATATCGGTGAGAACTCGATATTTAAGAAATCAGAAGACATTCTGTTATGTTGTGTGCAAGATGAAAGGTAAGAGGGTTTATCTGTGTAATTTCTGCAGCTGAGGAGTTCTTCACTAGCCGTTCAATGGTGGATGTGAAAGAGTTGAAGGAGAGTAATCCAGATTCTGCCTTGGTGATCGATGCGAACAACGATGATGTACCCAACTTCTCTGATTTTTCGTACAAAAGTGTTCCTGTCCACGATGTGGAAGTTGGATCCTTTATTTTGGTTGGAACTGGTGAGGTCTGTGAGACTTGTCTGTTCGCATTGAGTATACAAAATCCATTCTTTGCAATCCTTGAAAATATAGCTCTGTTCTTCTTTGTATTTAGATTGTACCTGTAGATTGTGAAATTTACCACGGTAGTGCTACCATTACAATTGAGCACTTGACCGGGGAAGTTAAGCCATTGGAGGCAAAAGCTGGAGATAGAGTGCCTGGTGGCGCAAGAAATTTAGACGGCAGAATGATTGTGAAGGTAGTTTGACCAGATGCGTATTGTTTTGGCTTGTCTTAGCTGTCTAAACCAGAAACATAATGTTCATCTTGCTTCAATGGATTGTTATCAGGCTATCAAGGCATGGAATGAGTCGACGCTTAACAGAATAGTACAGCTAACTGAAGAAGCACAATCTAATAAACCGAAACTTCAGAGATGGCTGGATGAGTTCGGTGAGAATTACAGCAAGGTGGTGGTCGTTTTATCTGCTGCTATTGCATTCCTTGGTCCTTTCTTGTTCAAATGGCCTTTTCTCAGCACTGCAGGTAGGGGTTGCTATAAGTATTTCATTTATATATAAATATGCTTACTATTTCATGAACCAATGATTCCTATTCTTTACTCACAAAAAGGTATAACTGCCTTTGGAGATTGATTGAGTGATCCACACTTTCCTTCTTGATATCAATTTGACTGTTGATTTACTTGGCTTTCTGCTTAATGATACAGCATGCAGGGGATCTGTTTACAGAGCTTTGGGACTAATGGTGGCTGCATCACCATGTGCCTTGGCAGTTGCTCCATTGGCTTATGCTACTGCTATTAGTTCCTGTGCAAGAAAGGTATGGAGCATGTACTCGATGTCACCACAGCTAAGAGACTGAGATCACCAAAACTGTTGTTGGCTCTCTTGCTTTGAGTATCTCTGGTTTGTATTTATTCTACCAAGCTGGAGCTCAAGCTTTCTAGAATTGAAGGGGTCTCATATACGTCAAGCGATAACTAGGATGGCTAAATGTTGCATATGCAGCATGGCTGAGTCTACCCTATTTCGTTTTTTATCGACTGAAGTTAATATATCACTACATTAACCTACTTTCAATTCTAAACCGAACATTGCGTTAGCATACAAACTTCCAAAATCTAGTTAACACCTGCAGTTTACTTTGTGTGATTGTTATTTTGTTGTGGAAACTGGAAAGTTATTTTGTGTTGTGACCCTAAAGCTGTCCACTTTTGTAGGGAATATTGGTAAAAGGTGGGCAGGTACTAGATGCTCTGGCCTCTTGCCATACTATTGCTTTTGACAAAACTGGGACTTTAACAACTGGGGGCCTTATGTTCAAAGCAATTGAACCCATTTATGGGCATCAAGCAGGAAATAACACAAGTGTAACTCCTTGTTGCATTCCAAATTGTGAAAAAGAAGCCCTTGCAGTTGCAGCTGCTATGGAGAAGGGCACCACACATCCTATCGGAAGGTATCGCTTGATAGACTTCATTTACCTCATATGATTTCATCATCTTGCTCACTAGAACTATACAAGTCCTGAAGTTTGTCCTGTTTATTTATCAAATTGAAAAATCCATTCACGAGATATGTATAAATTAGAAGGAGGTATGCGACAGTAAAATTTTGGGATTAAAGAACACCATTTTGGGATTAAAGGACACCACATCGGGAATTTTTACTGCTTCTGACCAGTCCTACATTGTTGCAGAGCTGTTGTGGACCACAGCATAGGGAAAGAACTCCCTTCAGTTTCGATTGAAAGCTTTGAGTATTTTCCTGGCAGAGGCCTTATTGCTACCGTAAATGGCATTGAGGTACTGTTTGCAGATCACACAAACAAATATGCATTATCCACTAGTGAAGGTTCCATTAGTTCGACTGTTCCAGTTATTATAGAATCTGTGTAGTTTATACAAACTTAACACGTTCACTCTGAGTAGATGAATAACTAGATCCGATGCGATCTCTCACTACAATCTTTACTGTGTTGTTATAGTCAGTAACTAGAGAAGATACAATGCGGAGAGCGTCTCTTGGCTCTGTAGAATTCATCGCATCGCTCTGCAGTTCAGAAGATGAATCTAGAAAGATCAAGGATGCTGTGAAAACCTCTTTGTATGGGAAGGACTTTTTCGGTTGAAAGCTTTGAGTAGTTTCCTGGCAGAGGCCTTATTGCTACCGTAAATGGCATTGAGGTACTGTTTGCAGATCACACAAACAAATATGCATTATCCACTAGTGAAGGTTCCATTAGTTCGACTGTTCCAGTTATTATAGAATCTGTGTAGTTTATACAAACTTAACACGTTCACTCTGAGTAGATGAATAACTAGATCCGATGCGATCTCTCACTACAATCTTTACTGTGTTGTTATAGTCAGTAACTAGAGAAGATACAATGCGGAGAGCGTCTCTTGGCTCTGTAGAATTCATCGCATCGCTCTGCAGTTCAGAAGATGAATCTAGAAAGATCAAGGATGCTGTGAAAACCTCTTTGTATGGGAAGGACTTAGTTCATGCTGCTCTTTCTGTTGATCAAAAGGTATGCTGCTTGTCTCTGGGAATGAATGGATAGCAGGGTTTTGTATAACGGGATCAAATTAAAATTAACTTTTTTTCACCTTTCAACTGATTAATAGTCCATAACGAGTAGGTTTCTGTAAAACTTGTGTACATGGAAAATCACAAAACTTGCAACTATCCTTCCAGGTAACATTGATTCACCTTGAGGACCACCCTCGTCCAGGGGCTTCAGTAGTTGTAGAAGAATTAAAATCCTGGGGCAAACTCCGGGTAATAATGTTAACCGGTGACCACGAGTCAAGTGCCTGGAGAGTTGCAAATGTTGTAGGGATAAAGGAAGTTTACTGCAACCTGAAGCCGGAGGATAAGCTTAATCATGTGAAGAACATCGCTGGGGAAGCAGGTGATCTTTTGATCATTCAAGACATTCAAGATCAACTTGACCTCTTTGTTTGACAAATGGCTTCCGCATTGTTCATAGCAAATTTTGTTTGAAGACAATCCTAGACCAATAAGCTGATTAGAAATTGTGATTTGTATGATAGGAGGGGGCTTGATTATGGTAGGAGAAGGCATCAATGACGCTCCAGCACTTGCAGCTGCAACAGTTGGGATTGTACTTGCTCAGCGTGCCAGTGCCACCGCAATAGCTGTAGCCGATGCCCTGCTTCTCCGGGACAATATCTCGGGTGTTCCCTTCTGTGTTGCCAAGTCTCGCCAGACAACTTCACTGGTCAATAAACTAGTTAGCCTTTGCCAATTTGTCATGTTTTACAGCTCAATCCTGAATCCATAGTAAAAATATATCATTTGGCAGGTGAAGCAAAACGTGGCTCTTGCTTTGTCCTCGATATTCTTGGCCGCTCTTCCATCGGGATTAGGGTTACTGCCTTTGTGGGTAACGGTACTTAACGGTACGATGAACCCTTTAAGCATTTTATTCCGTTCGCTTTGTCGGAATATACAGAATCGTTTCATTCCGGGCCGGTTGTTTTCAAATCTGGTGTATTGCTGCTGATGATAGGTGCTTCTACATGAAGGAGGGACGCTTCTTGTGTGCCTGAACTCAGTGAGGGGGCTGAACGATCCGACGTGGTCGTGGAAGCAAGACATTGCACATGTTTTATTATTCAACAAGCTCAGGTCACAACCTCTCTCCCACACATTAATCCCTACCGGTAATAATAATACCTAATACCTAATAAGAACAGCTTTAGATAGCTCTAGTTTCTTACGTCTCTTTTTTTTTTGGGTATAATTCTTACGTCTCTTTGTTTCTCAAAACGTGTAAAATAAGAATAATGATCATCCGCCGTACATACATGCATATATATATATATATAAATATATCATCGGAAACACGGGCTTTTAATGTTGGGATTCATGATGTTCATTCTCCTCTTTTTACATGCCTTCGCCGTTCTAATAATTTCACCTTCGCATGTCATTTTACATCCAAAAGTAAATAAGATATGAACTGTTTGAATCGTGAATGGGTTGAAATTTTCAAGATGAAGTTTATTTCTTTTACGCAAATTCCCCTTTGGGCTCTCATTGGATTCCTATCAGAACGATGCTTTGGCATCTCGTACGACCGATTGGATCAGGACATAACACAAGTCGCTGCCTTTTTTTTTAACATTTGTCCCTCGTTCCGTTTCAGCTTTCTCGCTCACTGTACAACATCGACCTTGATCGTTATTATTTTCCCGAGAAACAGTGGGAAGCCCATGAGGATCATTTCTCTTCCCCTCTCTTCTATTCTCAAGACCGAAAACTAAAGATAAAAAACTAATCTTCATTCCCACTACTCCATCCTCCCGACCCCAATCTGGTTCACCGGAATCAACTCCCTAAACCCAACACCACCGACGCTACACAACCCTCCTCCTCCTCCTCTTCCTCCGCCGCCGCCGCCGCCGTTCCCAAGCTGCAAATCCGTCATGTAACTTCTGACCTCAGCTCTAATCATATCATGCACCACCGTCATGAACTCCCCATTGAACCCCGTCATCAGTCCACTCGCCCTTTCCTCTTCCCTTCTCGCCGGGAACAACTCCGCCGTGTAACCGCCTCTCGTTCTCGTCTTCTGAATCATCGACTCTGTAACTCCGGCCGCCGCCGACTTCTCCCCGTTCTCGGCCCACGGGAGAGACAAGCTCAGGTATGTCGGCGGGTCTCCGGCTGAAGATGATGACGTCACCTCCACCGCCCCGGCTCTAGCCGTCGGCTTATAAACGAGCGACGCCGGAGGAAATGGCCCATTAGATTGATCGCTGACATCAGATCCCGACGGACTTCCCGGATTCATGTATAACCCAGTGGAAACCACTCCGCCGCCGCTAGCCGTTCGCTTCAGCGGATGCTCCGCTGTCAGATTACCGTCATACCCTCCGTTGCTGACGAAATCGTAGCTCTGCCCTTCTCCGCCGGAAACCATGGTGACGCACTTGCGCTTTAGCGTGGAGTTCCAATGGTTCTTGATGGCGTTGTCGGTACGACCGTTGAGGAGCCGAGCGATGGTCGCCCACTTGTTACCGAACCGGGCATGGGCTCGTATGATGGTCTCGTCTTCCTCCGGCGTGAAGGCGCGATGCTCCACCTCCGGCGAAAGCTGATTGCACCACCGGAGCCGACAGGACTTGCCTGACCGACCAGGGATCGACTTGCTTATGAGGGACCAGTTCCTGGGTCCGTGCTTGTGAACCAGCTTCTGCAAAAGGTCGTCTTCTTCGGGGCTCCATGGTCCCTTTATCCTCTCCATTTCTCTCCTGCTCGGACCAGACATCGCTGATAACTTTATCAGAGATCGATGTTCGGTCTTTTCTTCTTCCTCCCCCCTTTTTTTTTCGTTATTCGAGTTTTTTGATGGAGGGACGGTTGAGAGGATAAGAGCGAGAGGGAGTATTTATACGAGAAGGAACGGTCAAGCCTCACCGGTTTAACCGGTTTCACTGATTAGCCGAAATTATATTTCAAACGAAATATTATTAGCCATAGAAAATAGCTCTATTAAGGCGAGCAGCGGTCTGATCGCGCGTTTTTATAGTGGCGGTGCGTTTGATTACATTTGAAGAGAGAATGTTCCAGGCAAACGGTTGGGAGCTTGGGATACAGCTGTGTTTTGGGACACGTGTCGAACAAGTAGATGCATAGAGAGGAGTTTCTCTCTCTCCCCAATCCCTAAAGTGGACCGTTTTATATTCAATCATTTCGTTTTCCGTCCTCATCTCATCTCTTTATATTCACAAATCCTTGCTCAAATTTTTATTTATCATTCGTACATTCCTAATAACAATAACAAAAGTATCAAATGTATTTATTTCGTTCTGACAAAAGTTGGAGATAATGAGGTTTCCAATATCAAAAGGTGGTGAAATAGGACAAACTAGGAGTCAATTTTTTCAAATAAAAATAAGTTGGTTCAAAGTGCAAAAGCATATTTCTAAAATATCATTTTAGTCCTTTGTTTCCACAATTTCACACTTTAGATATGTGCAAATATAACTCGAATAATAAATGATAATAATGGAGCATTTTATTAAAAGCAAGGAAAACAAAAACAGCGAGAGAGTGAAGCGACGCGCATAGATGGCGCGTGGGATGAATCTGTTTTGAGATCTTGTGGTGTTCACTCTGAAAAACCATGAAAAGAAATATCTAAGGGACTGTAACTTCACATGAGTATCTGTGTTAAACATAAACTGTTTCTCATCACTCTTTCTTATCTTTACGTCTCGTGTCGGATTAATTTAATTTGTGTACACCTCTTCCCAAGACGAACCTCTTCGCTTGTTAAATGTCGACCTATTTATTTTCTAATTGATCTAAAAATATATTTTTTATATATAGCATTTTTGTTTATCGTAAATTTACGTGTTTGTTTCCATTCTGTAAATTTTAAATTTTCTGATTTTTCATTCCTTGTAATATCTAAAGAAAAAAATCATTACCGAAACAATGCACAACAAAATCATTACAGTACGTTTTTTAAACAGCAGTGAATTTTTCTTACAAGCGTCAAGGTTAGTTAAATGAGGGTTTTGCCCGATTCCGCCAGCCTGTACTCCATTACTAAGACTATCGGTTATAATTTCGGATAATAACCCCCAAAAGTAAAGCATGCAAAAGACGTTGTTGCTGACGTGGCACAAAACGACAAGGCAGATAGCCGAATCGGAGCGCTGTTTAGTCGCCACTTTACTTTCATATTTTTTTTATTTGTTATAGTTTGTCGCAGAGGACAGCCTGTAAACCTCTCCACCTCTTCCAACGGTCATCTTCCCCTTTCTCTCTCTCTATAATATTTAAACTGGAAAATATTTTCGATATGGAGTAGACTAAAATAATTGTCAACTACATATTTAATTTTAACGAATATAAATGGACGATTCCATACATTTATTATATATAACATGTACAACTCTTTCACTCTATGCAACACTTTCTAATATATTAAACTCAGTTGGCCATTTAACTCTCTTTTTTTTTCTTTCTTAGATTTTATCATCCCTATTTATTTCGGATGTATTTCTCAAGTATAAAAATATATTTGATTTTATCATCCCTATATATATATATATAGCGTGCGCATCTTATTGTTTTTATATTTTAACAAAGGGAAATTATGTAGCGTAGATTTTATTACTGACTTTAATTATAATAAAAAGTCTAAAAAAAAACAAAGATAATAATGTGAAGAAAAAAATAAATTGAAAGGAGATCTGTTACCCGTACGGAACCGGTAACCGGTAATGTACTCCAAAACAAGAGTCACATGCTCCAATACTAAGGGGAGCTTCCGGTAACCTTCCAACTTGCCATAGATGTAATATTTTAACACAAACTATATAATATTTTTTAAAATTATAAAAGGAGATAATATTCGGATTTCGGACTGATTATTAAATTAGAGATGGAAATTATAGATTAGGAGAGAGATTAAGTGTGGGTCTAAGGGGAGACAGATGGACAAGGCGATTTGCCATTAATGTAGATACGGCATGAGATTTCTGTTATTTGTACATCGTACCTAATACCCAATTCTCTCTTCCTAAATCTTTTGCTGATCCTATTTTAATATTTTACTCTTAGAAACTTGCTCTGCTCGGATGTATCTTTCTTTTTTGTTTGTGATAACTAGGATAGTTTTCGAGTTTTCGACCCGACTACATCTAGGTCCGAACCAATCTTTATATATAGATCATTTTTTGTCTAGAAATTATATCTCTCATCACCAGTGGAATCGAATCCATGATTTTGATGATGACTTTGTCACCTCTCAACCACTAAACCACCAAATGTTGAGTTCCGCTGTATCTTACTCGTATTCACATGGTTTTTAGCACATTTATACTTCAATATTTATTTTCTCCGTGTCTAAAATTAATTTAAGTACATCACATTTTCATTTGGTTTTCGGTATAATAAGCAAATCAAATCATTGGTGTAAAATGTCTGAAAATCATATAACATCTCAGTACCTATCAATATAAATTTTTTTCACATGGGATGCTTGTTATTTGTTAACCAACCATTAAAATATTTGGTAATGCACTATACATATAATTAAGTCCATTCGAAAAGGGAATAACGCAATGCATAGTTCCCAAAATATTCCCACTACACTACAAGGCAACAAAATTGAGAGCAATGATAAAACATGGAACGCACAACGTGGAGCCTGTTTCACGTTTAGTTTCGTCTTTGATAACGATAAATAGCAAATTAGGTAGGAGACTCATTCGATGTACATTTAGCATTGTTTTTTTATTACAATAATTATATATGCCGTATATTACAAAAACGGACACATAATGTCCCAAAACGCACGTGATTGTATATCGTATTCGTTGCCAATCTACGTATCGGAAATGATTCGACCACAAAGCTTATCCAGGTTCATGCATTCGTAGAATAATATACCAAAGACGGATGTTACGTTTATGAAAAGATGCATAATATGGAAGTCACAAATCACAATCCACGCACAAAAACATGCATATATATATATATATACATGTTACACATGTAGAGTTTAACACAAAATTTTAGCAATTGCTTGTACTGAGAACGCAGGTTTATTTACGATTTAAAAGCTAAACATACAATTACTACTGCTATTTACTTGATTGGAGCACTTGTAACAATTGCAAATAAAAATATACAGAAAACAGTCCCCGATTCGACCCGTAGACCCGTTGAAGCATCAAGTACGTATGGAAGTGCCAGAGAACATTTTAAAACAATGAATAATTAATTGGAATATGAAATATATTTTCTATTGATTATATGTATAATATGGCAAAATATAAAAGAGAGGAAGACAATAAAGGGCTCAAAGTTAAAGGAGGACAGCTCATTCGTAACGAATTAATTGGATAATTAAAGTGGAAGAAAATCATTTCAAATTTCTACTAACAATATCGAATTTTAATTGTAATCGAAAATGAGATTTGAAGTTTCTACCAAAACAAAATCAAAAAATGGCTAAAAAAACAGAGCAACAAAATTAAATTCCAGTGAACAGAAAAAGTAGAAACAGTAATATCAATGAAATTAATGTGACTAAGGAAAGGCACGTTCGGACAACGAGAGATCACGTGAGGGGCAAGTAGACACACGTGCGACTTGTTTCCCACCGCGGCAGCATCCAGCCGACGAGTTTGACCATTGCCCGCTCGGTACGGAAAAGGGTAAGTTCGGTATTTCATAAAAAAGTTGCATTGAGGACTCCGAGATCGAAAATATCTTTCTTACCCCTTTGATTCGGTTGTTGGGCTCTTGATACGGGACACGTGTCACGTGACCGCCCAGATTTCTTCCCATTAAAACTAGTTATATCTATTTCCAATATTATTTATTTCATCTTAAATGTCTTTTGTTAGACTCTTTTTGTACGTCCGAATATTCGCTGACGTCCATAATCCATATCCTATGCAACAATGGCATTGGATACTATCACATATTACTGGTTATAACCGAGATATTTTAATTACATTATCTAATTCCAAATTTAGTTAACTTAGTCCACGTCCATGCATAAAAACAATTGTTATAACCGTGGAAAAAAAACAAAGATGAATAGTCAAAAGAACGGAAAGAAAGCACCGGCCACTTTTGTCAAAGAAGCGTTTCTGTTGAATTATTGATCGTTTGAGGTAATGGCACGTGGAACACATGCCCACATACTCTCATATTCGGACAGATGTCAAACCTGCGTAGTTCCACGGAGATTGGATCAGACGGAGTTCACGATTGTCTTTTTTTTTTTTTTTGATAAAAGAGTTCACGATTATGTCATCCGCAAAAAGGATAATAATTTCCTTTTTGAGTTTCTGAAGACTTTTACGGAAATCAACATTTTGGAAAAAATAGTATAGTGTATATATATATAGGTATGATATATATATATATAGATTAGATGTATATATGCAAAATTAAGATCTACCCTAATGTAGTTAAAACTTTTAAATAATATCTCAATTTGAATAATTTAACTGGTGAAATGGATACGTAAAACGTTTTTTTCATTCCGAATTCAAATGTTAAATTGAGAATCATATGATTAGTTTTCGATTTTAGGATTAGTCTGAAATTCTATCTAAAATATCCGGTTATAAAAAAAATCTTTAAATAATAGTTAGTGTGCTAAAATTAAAAACTAAGTTCAATCGCTTTTGCGTTTGAAGCAATCGCATGGATGATAAATATGTTACAGCTTTTGCCAGCTACAAGGCATTTTCTTCGTTGGGAGAATTTTCTCTTCTAAGAAAATCAGCTCGGAATAATTTATGAAATGATGGAATAAAATTGATGAGTATAAGAAAATAAGATTTAAAAATCTCAAATTTTCTCACCTCGAAACTATAAATTTTTGTAACTAAGGATTGGTTCTGTTAAAAATAAATAATAGGCTATTTAGGGATTGGGTAGGATATGCACAAGTCCCGCGATTCGCGCTATCGTACGCCGTATGCATTAGGTGTACTTTTTTTTATTCCTTTATATTCTTTTCCTTTTTCGAACCTTTCCCCCATATATGCTTCGTCCCTAAGTACTAAACCGAGATGTTGGACCGTCATCATTACATTAGATTAACCATAAACCGACGTTAATGACACATAAATCGTAGTTAACATATGCTTTATTCTACTCAATACTATATTATAATTATTGATTATTATTATATTTTATACATTTCTAACCATAAATTGAAAATATTTATAAAAAGGTGACAATGACAGTGTCCCGAATCTAACAAATAACAAAAACAAAAACAAAAAGAAAATGCATTTTTAGCTTCCCAATAAATAAGAATATAATTATAAGGCCAAGCCCAATAATTTGGGCATTTTTGTCAAATGTGGTAGAGCCCTCCCCTCTCTCTCTCTCTCTCTCTCTCCCTCTCTCTCTCTCTCTCTCTCTCTCTCTCTCTCGTTCTCTCGTTAGGTATTGTGTCATTGTTGTCCTTTCAAGAACTCTACACAAAAGGGTGACTCAGATTTTGACAATTTCCATTACATACACTGAAAAAATCTCAATTTCAAATAAAATATTTACATTCTTTTAACATTTGTAATTTACTTGTTGGCCCTTCAATCAAACCCACAAGGCCGAGCCCAATAAAAGAAATCCCCACCATAACAACAAATCAAAGAAGCCCGATGCGCTTAACCGCTGTCGGTCGGTTCAGTTTTGGAAAACCGGGAAATTTCGCATAAACCGGATCTATCAGATGCTCTCTCCAATGGATAGTATCCATGTAACGAAACCGGATCTACTGCACCATCATCATCATCATCATCATCATCATCATCAACATCAACATCAACATCTGTCTCCGCCGCCGCAGTTCAGTGGCAGAGATTGGTAGACCAAACCTTGGAACAGAGACACGCATAGAGAGAGAACACAGGCTGTGTCTCAATGGAATCTGGATCCACTGTCGGTACCGCCGATGATCGGCAATCGATCGGTTCATCGTCGCCGGCGGAGGCCATTTCCCGTCTGAACCACGCCGTGTTGCAGCGGTACCAGCATCTGCTCGACAAGACAGTCTCTCACATCCTCTACCGTTGGATCGCGTGCCTCGTGGTCATCCTCATCTACGCCCTACGCGTCTACTTGGTCCAAGGGTTCTACATCATCACCTACGCCATCGGCATCTACCTTCTCAACCTCATCATCGCTTTTCTCTCTCCTCAGGAAGATCCCGAGTTGTCGATCCATGGCCCATCTCTTCCCACTCGCGGTTCCGATGAGTTCCGACCCTTCGTCCGCCGTCTCCCGGAGTTTAAGTTCTGGTTCGTACATTTTCCTTTCGAGATTCGCATCTTTCTTTCGGATTTTCCGCATCATTGGGTGCTTAATTTCCTGAAAATCCCTCGATGGAATCACTTCTGATTTGGATCGGACCCTAGGAGAATGTCGATTTCGTCTACAATTCCAATTTGTGAGGCTATTGAGAAATTGGGTGTTGCAATATAGGTTGTTTGCATATGAGATATGATCCAAATTCAGAGTTCTTATAGTGTTGATGATACTCGTTTAGATATGAGTGTTCATGCATTGCTTTTAGACATGGATATCAGTACAAGGATCAAGAAGAAGACACTGATTTGATTCCATAAGAGAAAGGTGTCACAGAGGTTTTTCTGGTTTCCCATGTCTACTATAGTTTACTTAGGTTGTCCTGTAATATCCCTTCAGATTCTCTATGCTGTTTCCATCTTTTGAAATTTGAGTTTGAAAGTTTTTGGCTTTTTTCTGTTTGGCAAGGTTCTCGATCACTAGGGCTTTTGTTATCGGATTTGTGATGACATTCTTCGAAGTGTTTGATGTGCCTGTTTTCTGGCCAATCCTTCTCTTCTACTGGGTGATGCTCTTTATCCTCACCATGAGGAAACAGATACAGCACATGATCAAATACAGATACTTGCCTTTCTCTTCCGGCAAACAGGTACTTGTATTCTTTTCTTTCTCAAAAAGCTTAATAACATCTTCCAACTTGTCGAGCAACAGATTCTAACTCCGATTCTTGTTTGCTTCCGACAGCGTTATGGAAAGAAGGCACCTTCGACCGAGACCACAGACTGACGGACTGACCCACCCGAGGACGCATTCGTTCGGGTTAGTGCACGAAATCCTTTGGCAAAGTGAGCATCTAGCGGTTGACATCTGACTGCACTAACCTTATGCTGATTTTGTTCCCATCTTTCTGTCTTTTCTTTTCGACTTTTAGCAAGAAACAAAGCTTAAGGATGAACCAGAAGGAAAGAAAATGGTCCGAGAGACTTTTCCGTGGGTTGGGCAAGACAGATTTTTCCGGGTTTTCACCTCTTTTCTTGGATGTTTACTGGTTCGACCTGAACAATGTATTGTATTACATTTTGACAATGAAATAATGCTTTCATCTCTCCATAGGCAGAAGAAAGGTGAAATCCTTTTTTGGTAGACAAGCAAGTGAACTTCGATTGGTGATGAATCTTTGGTAAATGGTAATTGTATTAAGGCTTCATCAATGCAATGCAAGACTTGTACTCTTCCAGTTCTTGAGGTAAAGAGAAAAGCACAATGAATGAGAATGCTACTATACAACAAAAACCAAGTTTCTACGGACAAATCCAAGCACGAAACAATCCGTGAATTGGCACAAAGATATCCTTTTTTTTTTCCAGAAAGATCTCAATAAAAGATGGCGGAAACTGATCATTCCCCATGGTAAAATGCCTGATGCTGATCTGTGTCCTCGCACTATCGGAGAGATTTCTCTCGGTTTCTTGTCCATGATCCTGGGGAATGTATGAGATTTCCCGGGTATACATATATATGCGTATATAATGATCTAGTTTCTCGGTTTCCTCGGCGATGACTGCTTCGAGGGAAGCTGGGTATCGGTTGGCTTAGGTTCGTGTTTTCTCTTGCTACGGTGTCTTGATCTACGGGTCTTGGTCGAATGCTTTGACACCACGGGTGTGTTTTCTTGGGAGGTTATTGCAGGTTTAGTGTTGGAGGGTAGCTCGGGAGGAGTATCCGGCCATGGCGTTCGTTTGGCCGGGACCGTGATCTCCAATGGCGGGTCAATTATCCACCTGTGGATATCACATCAAGGACAGATGGTACATATCAGATATTCAAAACTTTATCCATATGCAGAAACAATGTCATATATGCACAAGATCCAAAGCTATATACATATATAACATACACGAAGATTTATCCCCCTAACGATCGTTACAAAGAAACAATCTCTCCGCTAGACAGAAACCAAGTAGTGTCTTCTTTGGTCACATGAGTTCAGAAACCAAACAAGAGATCACTAAACACGAGTTTCTTTTATCTTGATCTATACATACAGACACATGAAATACGCATGATACATGTAAAATCTTGACAATAATAGATACATAAGACCCTCTTGTGCATAGTTTCATGGTAAAAGATTATATGGCTGGTAGTTCAAAAGTCAATAACTACCAAACGCTTAATTTAAAGCAAAACACAAGTCCACCACAGAATTTATAACACAAAACCAAATCTTGCCCTACCTTTTGACAACCTCAGCCCTCAAGACGACATGAGGTCATGAACTCAACAAACACCAAAACGCAGCAAACAAACACTGATGCTCATAAGTTCAAGTCATTGCAATCGTTGATTCAACAAAGACCTGGCTATTAGACGTATAATTCATATTCCCCGTGTGATACGATAGAAGAAAGACATACCCGGGTGGGAATTTGCTATCAGCACGGGCTTCAACACGAAGCCACCAGAGCAGAACTTGTCTTCCGCAGCTTCCAACTGGCTCTACCATAGTAGTATCTTTCAAGAGAGATAACGGATTCTCTATATCGTCGTTCCAATTCAACGAGCCAAAATCCTTGACCCATTCTGGTCTATTCTCAGCATCCTCCCAAAACAACCTAGAGTTCAAAACAAAGCCAGACCACTCCAGCTTTTGAGGCAACACCTCAGCCATATCGTCTATGTATACAGCACTTTTCCCCGCATATGGCAGCGTATTAAAAGTGTGCCATCCAACCAATTTATCGGATGAATTACAGGCCGGACCTTGTACAGGCAACGACGAGCTTTCCTCAATCTCCCTTCTCTTCTCCATCGGCATTATCATCTCCTCTGCATTGCCAGAATGTACCAGAATTCCAACAGAAATAGCACCAAACCACTTCACTGTCTGAATCTCATCAAAGAGCTCCATACTATGCATATTACTATCATCAGCAAACATCACAATCCCATCAAGCTTCTCCTCCCTCACAACTCTGTTCCAACCAAAGACATTAGTAATAGCTCCACATTCATTCAGCACAATATCCAAAACTCAAAATCTACCCCTAAGGTTCCTCTTTTCTAGACCATCAAACCATGAAGTTCGAGCTAAATATCATATGCGAACTTTATAAGCAAACACAAAGAAGAAGACTTGCCTCAAAGCGCGAAGTCTCATCATGACCTCTAATTTGCTTCGATCCTCCCAGGTATTGGGCATTCGCTGCTCGAATCCAACGTGAATCGTCCTTAGCCCTGATTTGGAGACGATCGAAGCTGTCTCGTTGGTGGCTCCACCGGCTTCGACCACGATCCAGACCAGATCGTACGGAACCAGCATGAGCGAGTGCATCACCCCGGTCAAATGGAGGGCCTGGAAGGTCCGTACGTACGTCGGCGTGACGGCGATGACCCTTCTCGGGCTCTTCACACCGAAGATCGTCCTTTGCTCTCTTTGAACCCTCTCGATGATCTGGTGAGCCTTCATGACCTCGACCGGGTTCGGATGCGGCCACGGTCGGATCCGGATCCCGTGTCTCCCGACAACAACTCTCGAGCTCGTCGCCGTTGCGTTCAGAGCAGGCGGTTCCGGAGTCCGACCAAGAGTTCGGACATCGATGTGCTTAGACGGCAGGTCCGACCGTAACGGCGCCAAGTGAAGGGTCGTGGAGGAAATGGAGAAGAATAAGAAGAAGACCAAGCGCGAGAAGCGGAATCCAAGGACAAGACTTATCAAGCAGCAGAGACAGTGGATGAAGAGCCAGAACAACGCCGCCGGAGACTTGCCGGAGCCATCAGCCGTAGAATCCAGCGGCGGGGGGCTTATCAAGCAGCAGAGGCAGTGGAGGATGACCCAGAACAACGCCGCCGGAGAATTACCAGAGCCATCCGCCGGAAAATCCAGCGGCGGAGATGATCTGAAGCTGTTGCTCCGGCGATTCAAGTAGCTCTGGTGCAAAGCAGAGAGCTTCATCCTCAGACGAAGACTTCTTCTTCTCCTCCTGCTTCTTCCTCTTAGTCTTCTTCCTTACCAACCTCTGAAGGATCTGATTAATCAGCTGATTACGTCGGATTTAAGACATAATCAGTTCGATTATCGTTGTCTTCTTGCTACCATCTGAAGTTTCGGCACCAACGCATCGAACGAAGGGGCAGGGAGAGCGACAACTGTACACGTGTCGATTCGTAATTGGGCTAATTTCCAGCGTCGCTGTAAAATGAGTAAAATCAGGGCCTTTTTACTTCATGTGCTCTCTAATCTCTATATGCGCTTAATACGTCAACGTTTTCTATAGAAATAGATGTTTATTCTAAATTCCTGCTAGAGGTAAATTTGCATTATATAATTTGAATTGTTTTGGGAAATTTCTTTCCTTTTTTTGTAATAATTAGTTGGGCTTAAATTGAACTGAGTTGGGAACGTGACGAGACTAAATGGGCCGGAAGAAATATGCGACCGAGGTGACGGGGCCCATTTTAACGACATTCGGTTCGGTAAATATTTCATAATTCATTGCCGTGAATAGTAGGGAAATTTGCAAGGAAAAAGGTTCAAGTATATTTAATTAATTTTATTTAAAATATATATATTTCAAACGATGTTTGTATATACAAAACCGTCGGGTGAATGGGTTGAAAACTTGAAGTGGAGCATATCAAACCGGTTATCTCCGGTTTGGTGGCCGGTCGGATCCTCTGTAGTACATTTTTCCCTGCAGACAAAGCAACAACAAAAAATTGAAGTCTCGACGCTACCAAAATCACATGTACCTTTATACATATGTTTTTTTTTTTAGATTTATGAATTTACATCATATTATACACATATGGGTTTGTTCTAATTGGGCCCCTTATTTTATTGGGTCAGTTTAAGATTATATTATGGTTTAAAAGCCTAGAATGAGAGTGTTATTTACATTTGCACAAAAAAAATGAATGTCTGAATTGAATATTATTGCACCTTTACTAAATTAATAGAATTTGCATATAAATAATTTAATTTTTGATGGGCGGTTACAAATCACGTGCACCGTAATAGAAAACGTCTTACTGTTTGTTGAAATCAACAGTCCGAAATTTTCGCGAATAAAAAGTCATTAAAAATTACGAATTAAATACAAAAATAACACAAATCTAATTAAGAGGAAAGAAAAAAAACACGATAGACTTTCGGTGGGGAAAGGGGTTACGTTACGTATCCGGGAAAGAGTTTGTTCAAAGGTTCCTTCTTTGACTTTGAGTGTTCCTCCAGTCAAGTTTTTTTGTGAAATGCATCGCCCTTTCCTCTTTCCTCCCCTCCATAATAAATATTATTCTTCTACACAAGTATATTCATTTCATTTAATAATCGATTTTATTTCAAAACTCATAGACCCGACTTTTGGGTACTACGAATTTACAAATTCCGAATCATCGATATTTAATTTGTTTTTTTTTTATCTTTCTGAATTGAGTAAAATACAGTACAGATGTGGAATTTATATAATGTACAGATATACTGTACATTATATATACATATATATAAAATAGATTTTTCCAATGGGCCGAAAAGCTATAGATTAACAATATTATTATTAGCTTCGTCACTTTTTTAACAATCTAAATTTATTATACATGTTGATAATTAACTTATTTGTGAGTTTGAATTGGGAAAGATCTAACAAGTAAAACAGCAACAAAAAATACAAAAGAACAGACGCTGACTAAAAGTCAAACTCCACGTCGGCAGAGACAAAACTTCCCAAGTTCAATTCAAAGCCATGGGACCCACCGATGACTCTTCGTCGTCCTTTCCAATGCTCTGTATTTAGTGAGAACCAAATCATGGACATCTGCATATGGTGGTCATATATCATGCTTGGAATCTTGTTTTGAGTTTTGATTTTCATACGCATATGCATACATACATATATATATTAATAAGTTGATGTTGATAAATTCCAACCAAACACGAGGTTGGAGTTTGGACAGAAACATAAAATCAAACTCTCTGTTTGACAAAAGGCAAAAGTCTATAGTGACAGATTTTGTCAGTCACCTACACTCAAATCAAACCCCATCACAAAAAAATTCTTTGTTGACCACACAACCTCCTCTTTAAACACCCAAAATCTCTCTCCTTTTCTGTCCTCCTTCTAAAGAGAAGAGAGAGAGAGAGATGGCGGTGGAGCTACTGGCCGGGAATTACATCGCCGGTACCGGAGCCGAGAGCTTCGCCGTCCAGGAAGCGGCGGCGTCTGGCCTCAGGAGCATCGAGAAGCTGATCCGTCTCATGTCGCCGGAGAGTATCGATTCCAATCAACCCTCCTCTTCTTCTGATCTCGACGCCGCCTGCAAAACGACAGCCGATGCCGCCGTTTCCAATTTCAAGAGAGTCATCTCTCTCCTGGGTCGGACCCGAACTGGTCACGCCCGTTTCAGACGCTCCCCAGTTCAAAAACCGGAGTCCGAAACGGCGCTGTTTCACGCTCCGCCGCCGCCGGAGATCTTGTCGGAGTCGCTCTACGAAAGGAAAGGTTCGTTTTTGTCGGCCAAAACGATCGATTTCTCTTCTCTGTCCTCAGTGACAACTGAATCGGATCACAAACAACCTCGTCCCTCCGAAACGGCTCCGTTTAGGATTCAAAGCTCGTCTTCCTCGTTCAAGCCTCTGTTTTCATCGGCCTCTACGAAGAGGAAATGCAGCTCCGAGAATCTTGTCGCCGGAAAATGCGCTTCCGCTTCCTCCGGCAGCTGCCATTGCTCCAAGAAGAGGTACCCATCAATAAATCTCTCCCTTTTTTATTAAAATTCATGGGTTTTTACTTTTATTAATAAATAAAAAAAGGTTCCCATCGGTTCTTCTTCTTTCCTCTTCTTGTCGTTTGCCAGAAAGTTGAAACAGAAGAGAGTGGTTAGGGTTCCGGCAATCAGCGCGAAGATGTCCGACATTCCACCGGACGATTACTCCTGGAGAAAATACGGACAAAAGCCCATCAAAGGATCTCCGCATCCGAGGTAATCACTAGAATTTTCTATTCAGTTGCTCGATTTGGGGGAAAAAAAAAGTTGCAATTTTTCCGACCAAATCAATCGGTTTCTGTTGCAGAGGATACTACAAGTGCAGTAGCGTACGAGGCTGTCCGGCGCGTAAGCACGTGGAGAGAGCCGCGGACGATCCATCGATGCTCATCGTAACCTACGAAGGAGATCACAGCCATTCTCTCCCCGCCGCGGAAGCCGCCGGGGCCGCCGTAGCTGATATCATATTGGAATCTTCGTGAAAAATCTATGGCTTGTATGAATCGATGAATAGATAGATCCTAGTGATTTACTCAAACCGACCAAGTACGAACAAACTCAAGCATCTTCCGTAAGTAAATTTCTAAACTTTAGATCACAAAGAGGGTGCTTCTTCTGCTGTTTATCTCAAAATGTGTTTAAAAAAAAGGCAAGTCTGAAAACGTTGTCTCCTTTGTTCTTGTTACGTAGTGTTGTGTTTTGATGATGAATCCAGGAGCCACTTTCATGCAGAATTTTTCGTTACTTTTGTTGTTTTAATCGATGTGATTGGTGATTACTTGAACAAAATTTACGGTGGAATCTAATAATCTTTGGGGAAAAAAAAAGGCATGGTCAAAAGATTAGACAGATTTGGACCGAAGATGTCGTGTTTGACTTGGTACCCACAAGAAAAAATGAGGTCGGTACTTATTTAAATTATTATTTACTATAAATATTTTAAAATATATTGGTTGAATATATTATTATCTATTACATAAAAAATATAGTTTGAAATATTGCATACGTTGCAACTTACTAATGTTCTGTTTTAGTGAAAGTTTTTTTTATTACACTTCATCTTTAAAATACTTTAGTTAAGTTGATAAAAAAAGTTCTTAATATTATCACCAATACAATTTGATAGTTTTAATATATATCCTCAATACCTAAGAGATAAATAATTTTTCTCTGAAAAATGTTCCACAGAATTCTAACCACATTATAGGCACTGAGATTGTTTGACATGGAAGATGCCGGAGTCAAGTTCGTTGGTAGGCACATCTTTCATTTACTTTCATTTTTCGAATAATAATAAACGACACAACCCAAATTTAGCTTGAGATTTCTCATATTTGTCTGATACATCATAGTTCTCCGATCCTCTAGAAATATAATTAGATCAAAAGTGTATTAAATTCGTGAATTATAAAAAATAAAATCTTAATTAGTGCATTACCTTTCTAGGCCCTGCATACATAGCATGCAACAATATATGTAGTGTGTATATATATAGATATATGCACACACGCTTTGAAATTCATTATTAAACTTCTGCGCCCTATGGTTTTAAAAACAATGATTATCAAACTATAAAAATATTTAAATAGAGTAATCAGCTTTGACGAGATCCATATTAAATAGGAGTTTATCGTGATCATGCGTTTCGACATGTGAATCAGTTGTGGATTTGTTAGGGCAAACGTATGTATGTATATGGAAATATACGTGTGTGTGTGTGTGTATATACATATGTATAAGTGTAAGGTGTGAGTGGACAATGGAAATCGAGCACAACATGACTCTTCTTGCGTGTCTTTATTGTTCTCGTGTTCCATGGACGTGTCTCCCCATCCTTCTCTTTTGACCTCCGCTTTTATATTACTTGACTTTGTTTATTATTTTTTCCTTCGAAAAATCCACTTATAAAACGAAAGATTTGAGAAACAATATATATACATACACCTTCAAAAATATAAACAAGTAGAACGGACGTGGAATATAAAAATCGAAATACGTGTTTTTTAAAAGTTTTATTAAGAGGCCATAAGAAAAAAAAGGGGAAACACAAGGACTGTCATCGGACCATTCAAACTAGGCCCATTCAAAATCATCGTTTATCCCATCACAATTCACAAGCTATATATATATTTGGCATTAAGTGGACGATGTGATTTTATTTGTTTCATTTCATGTATGTCTTATCATTTTCTTAATATTTTCCCCCGACAATGACCTCACAACCACTTCCCGATTTTGTTACCCTGTTTCCTTCGATGTCCGTATCATGTGTTCATTTTATAATCTTAAATGTATAATACAACTGTAACAAATTCATTGGGTAATTATACCGAGTTTCAGATCATATATAAAAACTATATAATATATGTGAATAAATTCCTTATGATGGTTAGGTAGTTGAATTATATCCAACCAAAGGGTATGAATCTTTATATATATATATATATATATATATATATATAACGGCGAATTGTAAGTTCATTTAATTTTATTGATGTGTGAGGTGTTTCAATTTCTCTATGGATACGATATAACAAAGTAATAATTGGATTTAATAAAACGTGAAATGACATCCAACCGTTCGTGGACGAGTGGTCAGCAGTTGGGTGCAAAGCACTCAGAGGTTGGCGATTCGATTCCTGGTTGGGGAGGAGTTTTCACATGGGCTGTCCCGGTCTTCTGGAAGATGTAGTTGGGCCAAAGGCCCGGTGAACTTCCGGATTATAAAAAAAAACAACGTGAAATGACATATGATACGGAGTGAGAGTGAGGACAAGCGACCAAGACAATGTAAATGCAACGTACCAGCAATCTTGACAAACATGGCTCAACCACTGAACACTAGTGTGTTGCTTCAATTACTTGACTAGATTTGCCAAGATCTCACACGTGCCTTTTGACCATCTCGTGCCCGTTTATAATTAATTACATTTTTACCCCTGTCTCATTGTTCTTCTTTTGTTCCATGGATTTTGGCAAAGTCAAAGCTGTTGCTACTCTTCCTCTCTCTAATTTATCTCGATTCAGAATTAGGTTGAGAGAAATCAGCTTTATCCAATTCTGTTGCTACATCATTTGACCTGATACATGCATATATATTGAAAAATAATGTACTATTAGTAGAAACTTTCGTCTTTAATTAATCAGTTTTTAATTGTTTGTTTGTTTGTGTATGTGTGTGTGTGTGTGTGTGTATGCAGCTGGCTTATCTAATAAAAAAATCATGCGTTTAATTAGGGTTTATATATGATAATGTGTAACGTGTAATTAAAAGGATGGGCAGTGTGAAAATGAAAAATCGATCTTCCTCTTGCCAATTCGCTTTCATTAGTTTAATTAACTGTTAGGAAGAAGAACAAAAAAAACGTATAACAGCAGATTCACGTTATTTGTAACGATGTTTGCAAGTTCAAATTAATGCGTGCGGGGACACGTACGTCACGAGCAGCGTATGAAATCGTAGGCCTTAATTCCCGACCGATTATTATTCGGACAAAATTAATGCATCCAATTTTTAAGGTTTTTTTTTTAGATTACGAATCCACGTGATTTATCATTCCGAATATCAATGTGAAAATTAACAAGGCACGCACTATGTTCACGCGCCAACTGGTTCACAGCTAATCTCTTCCCCACTGCAATTAAAAGTTGAGACACGGTCGAATATTTATATATATATATATATAAGTCCATGTACTTATTAATTTTAGCATAAGGTTTATCGTTGTCCTGTTAAATGGATCAAAGTTAAAATTCAGAATTTCGGATAGGATCAAATGAAAAGACACAATCAAAACATTGATCATATACACAGTCATGGATACAAGTGTAAATGTATTATATATATATATATATATATATTCAGAACGCTAAGTAAAACTCTAATACATAGTAATGCATATTTATAATATTATTTTATAATAATAATAATAGTATGCTATGAGAAAATGTTGGATTCCATTTACAAGTTCCAAAGATATACACACACAACTATTTGTTTGAATGGTGAACAGAAAAAAAATATTAGCAATTTAAAAAAAAAACGAGAGAGATAGAGAGCCTCACCTGTGGTACAGAGATGAGAGCATGTCATACATCTCCATCCGTGATCGATTTCTGTGTTAACAAGTGGCGAATTAAATCAATAAATAAATTACAAAAGATACATAAATACGGCTATTTCTTTTGATAAAATAAATAAATAAATACGGCTATTATCTATCAATTATAAGTGTAAGAGAGATTAGCTTTCATAAGTACAGACAAAAGCTGGATTACGAATGTCAAAGTTCTCTTCTTTTTTTTGTTTATGTTGGTTTGGCGTATACAAATCTCACATATGCTTTATTTTTTTTTTTAAAATTAAATGGAAAAAATATATAATTGGAGTAAAATATCATTTATTGCACATATGAAATATCAGGAGGCATATCGATAAGAATATATATAAGACTCGAACTATTTCAATTTTTAATCATGTCTCCTTGTTTTTTATGCGAACATGTTTTCTAATTAATACATATATATGTATTTATATGTGTGTGTGTGTATGTAAAGTGTGACAATTTGCATGACAGCTCGAGATAGGGCACATTAACAAGCGAGTGACCCCAGTGTTTTTGAAACATCTCAAGTTGATGATATATATTTTTTTCCTGTTTTTGGCGTTGGCATTAAGTGGACGATGTGATTTTATTTGTTTCATTTCATGTATGTCTTATCATTTTCTTAATATTTTCCCCCGACAATGACCTCACAACCACTTCCCGATTTTGTTACCCTGTTTCCTTCGATGTCCGTATCATGTGTTCATTTTATAATCTTAAATGTATAATACAACTGTAACAAATTCATTGGGTAATTATACCGAGTTTCAGATCATATATAAAAACTATATAATATATGTGAATAAATTCCTTATGATGGTTAGGTAGTTGAATTATATCCAACCAAAGGGTATGAATCTTTAAGATTGAATACTAAGAGCCCTTTAACCTTAAGACCGGGGTTCGAATCCTCTTAGTCTCCTCACCTGTAAGTATATAAGTTATGGACAATTTAGACTGGTTTGTATCTACGAAAACGAGATTTACCTAATTTGCACTCGAAAAGTAGTGGTTGCGGGTTTTCACATTATAAAAAAACAAAGGGTATGAAGCGAGAGAGATGTGTGTAGATGTTTGGTACATTAATATTCTTAATTCGCAAAACGAAATCGACCGACATTTAAACCGGGTTACCAAAATCGTCCTTTGATACATCACGAGGGAACAATATATGGAAAGAGGCGTTACGGTCAATTTACATGCATGGCAACGAGCGGATGGAACGTCTGTTTCCAAACGGCAAAAACATAATCACCGACCACCGACCGAACCTTTTTTTTTTTTTTTGCCACTTCAATAATCCAAAATCATCTTGAAAATATTGGGTTAATTAATGTGGAGATAATGCTTGGTGTTTTACCTCTGAAATGACCCGTCAAATGAAAAACAACAATTACGATATAATATATATATATATATATAGAGAGAGAGAGAGAGACGCATTTAGTAATACCATGATTATAAGTTTTTAACCTTTTTTACACTAATTATTAATAGAAAAAAAAAACGAAGGAATTGAGAAAAAGGACAAAGGCACCTCTGATATCGCACTAACTTCTCCCCAGAAAGGACACGCGTGTCATCACCGCCTCCGCCCTATTCATTATTTTATTACACCCCGCAATAATAATAATAATAATAATTATTATCCACATATTGTAATTTCCACAGATTTAATCCAAAGTTTGGTAAAAAATAATTTGTCCGATTTTGAATGAAAATATATATGCAGTGAGTTGGAGTAATGTTTTGAAATATAATCAGAATTAATAAATACCATTACATTAAATATCGTTTGAACAGTTTTTTGTAAGAATCAACTTCTGCATACACTAAACCATGAAATTCATATAACATAGAACAAAAGTTATTATCTTTCATAAATTATGGGTTGAATAGCATTGTGTTTTTGTTTGCATAAGGTAGGTGCATCTATGATAGTTATTTTATACCAATCTTATTTAAGAAACGAGGAGCAACTTTATTACGGTCCAATGAAAATGTCGATGGCTTCATTAAAATAAGGCGCATGAGAGCGTATAGCATATAGTCCTTTTTGTGTGTTTTTCGCAATAGTTTATTTCCGCCCAATAATAACAATAATAAATAGATAAAAAAAAAACATTATTATTACGAGATATGAGAGAGTCTGCCTTGGCAAAATATAAGAAGCGAAAATCACGAAGTTTATAAGGTTTGAAGTGTCGGTGAATTTGGAACTTCTTCCTCAGCGGTTTCGTGTTCCTCTCATCTCCGCCTACGTGTAAACCTCCCTCCGCATGTGAATCGCCGTCCTCTCTCCCTCTCTCCGGACCTTTCAACAGATCTTTCCCTTGAAATCTCTGAAACCCAGATCAGAAATCCGATGGTCTGCTGAAATCTCTCGAGAAGTCGGGATCTTGCGGCGGCGGAGAAAGAATTCACCGGAAAGTTATGGAAACCGCGGCGGAGAGGAAGAGGGAGAAGCCGTACAAGGGGATAAGGATGAGGAAGTGGGGAAAGTGGGTCGCTGAGATTAGAGAACCCAACAAGCGCTCGAGGATCTGGCTCGGCTCCTACTCCACGCCGGAGGCGGCGGCGCGGGCCTACGACACGGCGGTCTTCTACCTCAGGGGCCCCACGGCTCGCCTCAACTTCCCGGAGTTTCTCGCCGGAGACGTCGCGACGGTCACCGGAGGAGAGGACATGTCGGCAGCGTACATAAGGAGGAAGGCGGCGGAGGTGGGTGCGCAGGTGGACGCGGTGGTGCAAAGCAATGGTCAAGACCAAGACCGGGGTGGTCTGGGAAGTGGTAATCACGATTACGGGGATAATCATAGAGATGATGGTAAGAGTGGGAAGGGGTTTAAGAGGGGTAACAACGGGCTATTGGAACGGGTCGACTTGAACAAGATGCCCGACCCGGAATCTTCGGATGACGACGATGAATGGGAGAGGAAAAGCAAGTGACATGAACCATCATTTCATCTGTAGGTGACGGTTGCTAACGTGCGCCTCCCGGAGTATGTGATTAGTGTTTCTAGTGTAATGGTGTTTTTTTTTTTTGGCAAAGCTTCCCTTTTTTTTGTTACAAAGCGTAAATCATGGAGGGCTTAAAAGTTGCTTCAAGCCAATCGAAGTTTTTTAATTTAGGCTGCGAGGGTTGGGAGTGCAAACAAAACAAGGGGAATGGTCTGGAATTTGTTCAAATCTTCGAGTAACAGTGAATGTGAATCTGTGTAAACATATGGTAAGGATTTAAATGGGAGAGATATGCGAGGAGAGTGTTAAAAACAATGAAAATGTAGAAATATATGACTAGATATTGAGAATGATAAAGTGTCATGAAACGGTCGAGAGAGAGAGAGAGAGGAGAGGGGTTGGGGACAAAAGAGTGGCCTACTTCTTCTCCCATCCCGAATTTGGGTGCCAATTGTCCCCTCTCTCTCTCTCTCTCTCTCAAAGAGCCATATTGAGGGTGAGTTTGGTTTTCCTCTTCTCCCTAAACCTTTTTTATTTCGGGGGGAAAGGACGAATGAATGGGGAACCGCGAAAAGAAACGTGAAAATTTGAGGGGCAAAGTGGTTTTATGCCATCATTAAGAGCATGTTTTGCTTCTGCATTGTACAAAGTACAAACAAAACAGCAAGCACGAATAGTGCGCGTGTTGGGTTCGAGCCAAAGCAGAAAACAAAAGGGCATATAACTGAAAGAGGGCATATGCGGTTGAAGTTTGGCATCACTCCATTTCACACGATGGATGCGTGCATGTAGCTCTACTCCGAAAGCCAATTCCCTCCCTCGGGTTTCTTTCTGCCACGATGAAAAAGGATCAATTCAGACAACGACAAGTACACTGAACAGTGGAACTGGATTCAGGAATCCCGGCGGAGGCAGAGGGGAATCGTAAAAGGCGGCTCGTGGGCGCGTGCGGGTCGATGACGGCTCCCATTGTCGGTGATTTGGTCGCCGGGGCGAAACAGAGACTGATGGTCTGCTTCACCAGATGCTGCAAGTATGAGTATGGAATTGGACCCAATCTTTTTTTTTTTTGGTAAGTCGGGTTTCCCAGGCCTAAGAGGCCAGACTAATCCCGGCCACGCATGCGAGCCTGCAACACACACGTGGATGTAAATTGGCCGAAATCGGCAGGCGAAACGAGAATCTCTATACTCTGGGTGTTGAAGTCACGACCTCGCTTGGAGAAGTGAGTTCTCAATCAACAGAGTTGGGGATTCCCCCAATTGGACCCAATCTTTTTCGAATTTTTCGCTTCATTTTTATTGTATTCTCCTTGCCGTTTTTTTGTAACGTCTAAGATATTTATTTTTATATTCATAGCAATTTCAATTTCAAATTATGGACGATCATATTTTTTGTTATTATTGGTCGTATATATATGTGTCCTGTAGTATAAAATGTTCTCTCATTCCAAACTATTATTTAACGTTACATACCAAACAACTGAGGTATCTATTTAATAATACAATTTGTGTGCGTAAATGAAAAAAAAAAACGTTCAGTTTTGTTTTCGAGTCGACCGTCGGTCAATGTTGATTTATTTCGGAGATAAGAGATGCTGTAACGTAGAAACAGACTTATTTTGCCACGTGGATATACAGGCAAAGCATAAAGAGATACTCCCAGGTCAGAAAAATTCACAAGAAGCCCACGCGAGATATGGGCCCCCACGTGACACGTTGACGATCGGACGGCTGCAAATCCATCGTATCATCTCATGTTTTTTTCTCTTTGCATAAAAAAATATTTTTTTTTACCTAGGGTTTTTGCCGAAGACATTGTTCTTCATCTCCACCATCATCTTACAAAATCCTATATATTCCCAGCATTTCTCCTTCACTCTCTGCGCTGTGCCGCGGTACTGCCAACAACCTCCGCTGTCGCCATATCCTTATCTCCTCCTATCCCAGGAAAAAAAAAAGAAAACCGAAACAAAAAGAACTTGACAAAAAACCCCAAAAAGATTCCGTCTTGAATTCTGTCACTTTCGCCTAGGTTTGTGTACCGTTTCGCATTTGTTGTCGTTGAGATTTGCAGCAATGGCGCAGGTTCAGGCTCCTTCGCATTCGATAGCGCCTCCTCTTGTTACGGCGGCGGCGACGGCGGCTGCTGGCGGCGACGAGGTTAATCACGGCGCTCTGTGTTCTCTCTACGTTGGAGATCTGGAGCTAAACGTGACGGACTCTCAGCTCTATGATTATTTCAACCAAGTGGGTCAGGTCGTGTCGGTTCGGGTCTGCCGAGACGCCGCAACCCAGATTTCTCTTGGCTATGGTTACGTCAATTACAGCAATACCCATGATGGTTTGTGCCCTTCTTCTTCAGAATTCCTTTGGATTCAACTCGCACTACGCATTTCGATCCTATGTACCGAGGTTTCAATTTTTCGATCTTCGTCAATTTGTGGCTAATCTGAGTTAAGGGTATCCTGGCGATGGACTGAATTACTCTGTATCTTCCATTTGACTTTCAGTTCTGACAATGAGTCTGTCTGATGGATAGTTTGTTGGATTTGAATGCAAATGTATGTATGTATGTATGACCCAATGATTAGGATTTAGATTTAGTGTTTCTCTTCCAGAGGATTGCATAGATGTTCTTACCTTTTGTCTCCGTTGATGGTTTCAAAGAATTCTAGGCTTTATTTCGTTGCTTTGGTTGAGTCTTCGTTTCTTTTTTTGCTACAGCGGAACGGGCGACGAAGGAGCTGAATTTCTCTCATCTCAACGGCAAGATGATTCGGGTTACATACTCTTCCCGTGACAATTATCTTCGTAGAAGCGGCATTGGTAACTTATTCGTCAAGGTATTTGCTTTTGTGAATGTCTGCCTTTTTTATCCATTTCCCTCGTCCTCTGTTTCATGCCTAACTCGGGTGGTTTTCTTTTCTGTTCTTTTTTTCACTGCAAAGAATTTGGACAAGTCCATTGACAACAAAGCTCTTCATGACACATTTTCCGAGTTTGGAAATATTTTGTCGTGTAAGGTTGCAACTGATCACCTGGGTCAGTCCAGAGGGCACGGTTTCGTGCAGTTTGAGGAGGAGGATTCGGCTAAAAATGCCATCAACAAGCTGAATGGCACACTGCTCAACGACAAACAAATCTTCGTTGGACCCTTTCTTCGCAAGGAGGACAGGGAGTCTGGTGCCAATAAGATAAAATTCAACAATGTGTATGTGAAGAATCTGTCAGAAACATCAACTGATGATGATTTAAAGAATATTTTCGGTCAGTACGGGTATATCACAAGTGCGGTGGTTATGAGAGATGGGGATGGAAGATCCAAGTGTTTTGGATTTGTTAACTTTGAGAGCCCTGAAGATGCAGCCCGATCTGTTGAGGCCCTTAATGGGAAGAGGGTTGGTGACAAGGAATGGTATGTTGGTAAAGCGCAGAAGAAATCTGAGAGGGAACTCGAACTGAGGGGAAGATTTGAGCAGCAGGGGTTGAGGGAGACGGGGAACAATTTCGAAGGATTGAACTTATATGTTAAAAATCTTGATGACTCTATCACTGATGAGAAGTTGCGGGAGTTGTTTTCTGAATTCGGAACAATAACTTCCTGCAAGGTCAGTCTCGTGCATAGGTAGACACTGTCTATGACAGATCTTTCTTTATCTAGTTTAACATCTTGTCTACATTTGTTTGAGCAGGTTATGCGGGAACCTAGTGGTATTAGCAAAGGATCTGGATTTGTTGCTTTCTTGTCTGCTGGAGCAGCTTCTAGAGCTGTAATATAATTCTCTTCATGTTTCGATATTGTCCTGATCCATTCGAGTATCTGTGATTTTCTTACACCTTTGTTTTTTTTCTTCAACAGCTCTCTGAGATGAATGGTAAAATGGTGGGTGGCAAACCGCTCTATGTTGCTCTTGCACAGAGGAAGGAGGAAAGAAGGGCTAAGTTGCAGGTGCACCATTGACCTCAGCAGTTATCATATGTTTGATATTGTGCTGTTCGGTTTTACCATCTCGACATTTTCTTGATGATCAATGCAGGCACAATTTTCTCAGATGCGACCTGCTTTGTTACCCGCTGTCAGTCCGCATATGCCAATTTATCCTGGTGGTGCTCCAGGTCTTGGACAACAGCTGCTCTATGGTCAAGGTCCTCCACCAATGATGATCTCTCAGCAGGTAAAGCATTTTTTATTAGCTGAGGAATTTATTTCACACCAATGATGTTGATGTTGACGTTGACGATGGAAATGCAATTTCTTCTGGATGTGCCTTTGGTAGTATGAATAAGCATCAATGTGCATATCCTGGGATAGAAATAGCATTCTTTGCCACTCATATGATGCTTGACATGATCTGTCATCTGTGACAGCCGGGATTTGGATATCAGCCACAGCTGGTTCCTGGAATGAGGCCAAATGTTTTTGGCCCGACGATGCAGCCAGGTCAGCGGCCAGGCGGCAGACGCTCAGGTGGTGGGCCCATGCGCCAGTCTCAGCAGCTAATTCCTCTCTTGCAGCCTCAGGTTAGTTCTGATTCCGGGAAATCCCCTGCCATTGCAACCTTATATGCAGAATCAAGAACCCAGTTAGTGTTTTGACGGTAACCCTTTTACGCTGTCTTCTCAATCCTCAGATGCTCCCAAGGGGACGTGGGTATCGCTATTCCCCTGTTAGTAACATGCTCGACGGTCCCATTCCCGGAGGAATTCTTCCCATCGCTTATGATATGAACGGAATGCCCTTTGCACAGCCTCTGTCAACCGGCGCATTGGCTTCTGCCCTCGCTAATGGGACGCCTGCCCAACAGAGGACGGTAAAGTCTACCACTACCTGGTCGTGAGGAATATACACGTACATTTATAGCCTAACGGGTTTTGGGGTTTCTGCTTTCTCAGCTGCTGGGTGAGCATCTATACCCATTGGTTGACCAGATGGAGAGTGAAAATGCGGCGAAGGTGACAGGCATGCTGCTGGAGATGGACCAGACAGAAGTGTTGCATCTGATAGAATCACCAGATGCGTTGAAAGCCAAAGTTGCAGAAGCCATGGATGTCCTGAGGAACGTCGGTCCGCCTCTGGTGAGTAGCAGCGGAAGTAACAGCCCGATCGATAAGCTGGCATCTCTTTCCATGGACGATAAACTATGAATCAAGACTTGGTTCTAAAGCCGGACTGGATTTTTTGCCGAGCTGGCTAGAATTTTGATTTGGGTTTTTGATATTGTGTTAGGGGAGAGTTTTGGATTTTACCTGTTGTTTTGTTGGAGGATTTGGCTTTCTACCCTAAACCCCATTTAGACAGAAAGTATCACATTCAGACCACACACACACATTGAAGAAGATGCAGAATGAACTGCGTGTCTTAATTGGTCCTCGGAGAAAAAAAAAGGCAAAATGTTTTTTGTTGGCTATCGAAGTGAATGCATCTGATTCGGTTTTCCTTTTGGCAAAGGAAAACCTGCAAGTTGTAAAAAGGCCTTTTTCATCAACACCCCTTTAAAATCACAATAAATTTTTTTTTTTTTGGGGGGGGGGGG